AGTGCTTCTTATTAAGGGACAGGGTTTTCATGGCTCACAGCAGCAGCATTCAGTGATACTTCAGGTTTGTACTTAGGAAAGTGGCTCCTCTTTAAATAATGGAGAATATTCTCAGACTTAAAAGACCTTTTTCCTATGGGGAAGTATCAGGGGGAACTAGGAATAAATATGGAACTTAAAGCACCAAGTGCTTTCACTGACAGAGCCCTGAGACAGCACTCACAAAATGTTCTCTGTAGCTTGTTCAACACACAGGGAATTTTGGATAAATAGGATTTCTATTAGTGTCTCAATTATGAGATGTAAAGTCAGGCAACATTAAAAACAGTTTCCCAGCTGTTTCAGCAAAACAATTTCTTTGTAAATAAGGTGAATGTTATGTCAAAACAGCTGTGAAAGTGACTTTATTGAGTCACTTACAGTAACTTACCCTTTAATTATTCTAAAACTTGGTAGATTTTGCTAACAAATAATATGTGACAGAAGGATATTTATGGATTCCTATGGATTACAGGGAAATAAACCCTTAGAGAGCTTTGTGGTGTGCGTACAGTGGAATTGTTATGTCTTATTTTGGTACATTGCAATTTTAAATCTCTAAAGCATCCCCTCATTCACCAGCAGGCCTGGCAGCCTCTTTGCATTCATGTCAAGGGAGGCTGTCAGGGAGCAGACACAAATCCTAACACGTGTCTTCTCTGAAAGAATTGACTTTTGCTGTGTTTCTTATTACTCTTCTCCCTGAAGGGTAGTAGAAGTCTTTTAGATTGAAAACAACATCGTTGTGCCATGTGTGGAGAAAGCAGAGCTGGCTTCAGAAGTGACTTTAGTGCAAACTGTGCTTTAGGTGACAACAACAGCCTCCTTCTAAGCCCTGTGTGCGAGGGACTAGGGATGAGAGTCTGATTTCACAGCGGTTAAACTGTGCCCATCACAGCCCAAAACAAGCAGCTCAAAGCAGCAAGGACAAACCCCTTCAGTTTTGGCAGCGATATTTGGTGGGGGAATGTTCAGAAAGTCCTAAAATGGTTTTGGTTCAAAGGGAATTTCAAGTTCATCTCATTTCCACCCTCTGCCACAGGCAGGGACACCTTCCACTAGACCAGGTTGTTCCAAGCCTTGTCCAGGTTTTCCTGGGAAGCTCCCAAGGAAAGAGATGTCAAAAACCATCACTCCACAAAAAAACCACAGGTGGTACGAGGGTCTCAAGGACTCTGCAGGTCAACAGCAGCTCTGGTGCTTTTAAACAGAGCTATCCAGCATTTCTGCTCCCTGATCTGAGGGCCCTGAGACTGCTGTGCCTAATTTGTATCTGTGCCATTTTGATGTTAAAAGTTTGGAGGTGGTTGCTGTCAGCACTCCTAGAAAAATGGGAAAATATAGGGCCCTGGAGAAAAAGTAGATGGAAAATTATAAATAAACTTGTGAGAAGATTGTAGTGTGAAAGGCATCATGTTGTTCTTTGATGGTCTGGGAACTGACTGAAACTTACTCAAGAAATTTTTGACTAATTCATCAGTAGCTCTTCAAAATCAAGCTGTCCTTTGTTGCTGTTTTTTACTTAATATTACTTTTTCATTCACTTCTTAGGGTCACAGCTTCCAGTGGAAATATTTCCATTAGAAATTTGGTATTAATTGACTGTGGATATTCTTCAACTGTTCCTAGTAAGATACCCATTGACTAAAGCTTTCATGGAAATGACCATCATGCATTTCAGCTAAGGGAAGAGTCTTGTGAAAGTCACACCAGTATTATTTAGTCAAAATAATTACTGACACTCCAGGAGGACACTGGAGTGCCAGTAATTATTTTGACTAAATAAACCACACTGTGTGAGGCACAATGTCCTGTAATAATAAAAACTTTATTCCTGATAAAATGTTATTTGTCAGTCCCCTGATTGTTATCCATGAGGTTTCTTTTCCAGTCAAACTAGAGGCATACAGCTCAAGCTCTGGGTAGATTTGCCCAGGAAAAAAAAAAATTCAGGAAAAAAGAAAGAGAAAAAAGTCTCACTTACTTTTTAGCTGGCTGTATGTTTCCTGGAAATCTTAAGGAAATCATTTTGATGCTGTGGCCTGGTAAAAGAGATCAGAGGAGGCCATGAAGATGCTCCAAAGGATGAAGCATCTCTGCTAGAAAGGCAGGCTGGGAAGTGTTCACCTGGAAAAGGATCCAGGGACACCACAGAGCCCCTTCCAGTGCCTAGAGGGGCTCCAAGAGAGCTCGAGAGGGGCTTTGGACAGGGGCTTTAGACAAGGGCTTTCAAAACTTATGTCACTGGCCTAAACCTGATCCCATCATCAGGCCACTGGCAGCAAAAATCAAACCAAGCCTTATTTAACATCTACGTCTCTTCCTGACTACTCATTTTTTACTGGCCTCATCACCCATGAGCAACACTTCTGTTCACAACTGATTACACAGTTCTGCCAGCCCTGAGCAGAATGAGAGCCGGTTTTGAAGAGATCAAGCAACAATTGATAGATCAAGACTGGGAATAAGCCTTCTTTTATCTAGAAAAACTGTAATGGAAATAATTGGAAAAATGTATTTTATTACTTTCCCAGAGGAGACGATTAGGGAACCTGAAGGCAAAGGCTGCTCTATGGAATGAATGATTTGAATTTTAACTGAAAATGTTGAGGCTCAAATGAAAAACCGTTTTAGACAGCAGGAGAGAGTTTGCCCATTTTTTTTAAGTGTTTTTATTATTTGCAGTAAATATATTTGCATAATTTGTACATCCAAAGTATCCCAACTGGGACTAATTATCCACTGTGTTAGACAACATACAAACACACAACAGAGCCAACCTCTGATCTGGGAGCCACAATCCAGTGCTCAGTTTCAGCAAACAACACTTGATAAGCCAAAGTGTTCATTCTCTTTTCTCTTTTTGCCCCATTTATTAAAAAGGGCTCTTAGCCAAACCTTCAGTGGCCCTTTCAGAAGGGAGAAGAACAAGGAAATATTGTGCCCTTGTTAGTGCAGAGGGCTGGGGTTTGCAAATCAAAGCCAAGTCTCCATGCTCTGGAGCAGACTTTATGTCTGACAAGAAGCAGTTCAGCTCCTCTGTGCCTCCAACAACCTATTTGTAAAAGGGTAGCAGCACTCCCCACCCTCTTCAGGCCATGCTGAGAGGGAAGGCATGAAGATTTGTAGAGAAATTCATAAAATAATTTAAGAGACTAATATTTTAGGATTTTGTCACCTGTGTTATATACAGTGCCTCTTGCTTTCTTTGGGATTCCTAAAGGAAAACAAACAAACTTTAAATTGCAATAGACAGATTCTCTTCAGATTGCTTCACCATTGCCTCAGTAGCATTTGCAGCCCATCTTCAGTGAGGGCAAGGCTGACACGAGCACATCAATCTAATTTTTTTTTTTTTTTTTTTTTTTTTGCCCTGTAGGACTGTAAATACCAACTACTCCCAGGCAGCTGGTGAGAAAGGAGTTGCTGTGTTGAGTCAGAACCTGCAAGCCCAGGCATTCAGCAGGAATGTTACAGATGTGTGCCAGCTACTGAGTTCTGTGTGTTTGTCTGAGGTTAGGGTGGGGTACAGCTGGTTACCTGGGGCTGGGGCTGTTGGGGTAGCCCAAATTGTCTCCTTGGGAAGCAGAGACACTTTGGCCAAGGCAGCTGCAGTACACAAACCACTCAAGGATTCTGTGCGAGCCACGAAGAGCAGTGTTCAGCACCAGGTAGCACTGAGTTTCACAGTTCATCTGGTCATTTCTTAGAACACATTTATTACACCCCTACTCCAGATGATGAATTTTTACCATAAGGTTTCCCCCAGGAAAGGAAACCAAGACATGAGATCTGGGAAATGATAACAGAGGGTGCAGTCTCAGTGCATCCTAGGCCTGCGAGGATGCTGGGCTGAGTAATCTGTATATAAAGAAAAGAGAAAAGGTCATTCTGAGGGATGATGTGCATGAAGTAAAAATGGTTTACGAGTAGTAGACATAAATAATCCTTGCAAACCACTGGAGGTGATACAAACCAGCTGGGATGAGCAGACAATGGGAAAAGCAGATTTTCCTCTAGAGACCCAAGAAACTGTAACCCCCTCCCTGCCATCCTATCCCAACCCTGTGATTTACACACAGCTCTAGCTCAGGAAAAAAAAAAAATCTGCTGGGTTTTGTAAGTCTATAATAAAGAGCACATTTTTCCTACACTGAGGAAAAAGGTTTGTTTCAAAGCCTTTAAGCCTTATGTTCGGGTAAACTTTCCATAGGGCAAGTAATTCTAATCATATTTGGAATAAATTTGGTTTAAAAGAGAAGTATGATCTGGGGAAGACTGTCAGGCAGTGGAATATGCGTCAGTCTAACAGACTGCTTCTGATGTTCATTGCTTTATGAGAGCAACATGGCCCCTTTGCCCTGTCAACCTAAACCCTATCCATTGTTCTAGAAAGTTCCCTGTCCGTCACCTCCAGGACCAATCCCAGATCTAACCCTCTCTCCTCCCCTTACCCTGATTTATGGCATCCCTGAAAACCACACCCTAAGAGCTGCTCATTCATTGCATCATTTTGTCCACCCTGTGTTTTTTAAAACGTTTTAAAGTGTTTAAAAAAAAACACTTTAAAAAAGTTTTAAAACGTGAAGTTTTAAAAACCTTTGCACAGTTGTACCCGAGGCTCTGCTTGCCTGTGTTCCCTTCTGCTCTCCTCTCCCGTGGACCCCACCCTTGTCCTTCCCAATAAACCTGCTGGACTTCACAGAGCAAGAGAGCCTCTCCTGCCTCCTTTATCCCATCCTCGTTGCACCTCCAGGGGTCCCCAGTGATGGGCATTGGGCTCAGAGGTTCTGGCTCAGGGAATACCCTAATTGGGTCGGTTCCCCACTTTTGCCATTGCCCCTGGACCATCTTGGAGCTAGCCTGGGTTCCGGAGGACAGTGAGTGACAACCAGTTGCCACAGAGCAGAGCTGGCCGTGTCACAGTGTCAACAGTGGCCCCATTGACATCATCACCCTGGTCTAGCCCTTAAACGTGGCTGCACATCAACACCACCCTCAGAGACCAGGACAGGATCCCAGAGCAGGAGCTTGCCCAAGGCTGCTCAAACACCAGAGTAAGTCTGAGCTCTGCTGCCTCTGGCACAGCTCACACACTCCTCTCTTTTTTAACTCAGTCTGGGTGTACAAGTGTCAGGAGGAGAAATGCCAGTAGTGCTGCACAAGAGACGCTCCAGGAACTCACCATCAACCTCTTCTGGATCCAACGTGGCACAGCCAGAAACTGTCCCCAAGGAAAAAGGTGACAGCAGAAGCCTCCCTCCCCACAGCTCCCTGTCACTGGCACAGGGGGTTCCGGGGTAGTCACTGAGGACCAAGAATGATGCCAGGCTGAGGCAGGAGCTCCCCAGCCCAGCTGGGCTCTGGGCACTTGCTGGGGCACCCACGCCTGACCTGCTCTGCCCTTCAGCCAGCACAGCACAGAGCCAGCAGGGCCCTGGGGCTGATCCTGCTCAGACACTTGCCCAGCCCCACATGCCTGATGGGGACTTGCTCTGTCTCCAGAGTGCATGCTGTGCCACCAGACCCAGGCGGACACCGACATCTGCGGGGACAAGAGAGTGAAGTTCAAGCTCTGTGTCCACATCTACTGCCAGGTAGGTGAATTCTCTTGGGGAGAATTTACCTGGCAGTAGGTGTGGACACAGTATTCTGCCCACAAGGGCCCTGCCTTCCTGACTTAACAAGCTCCAGAACTTCCATGCCTTGCAGATCTTCGCCAGCGGGCTTTACCCACAAGAAGACACTGGAAAATTTCTTGTTGGGGACACCAGGCGTATCATCAAAGAGGCAGCCAAGAAGGTGGGGACAACCTGGCAGGAGCAGGCAGCTTTGCACCACGAGCTCATCCTGCTCCCCAGCAAAGAAGCCCCAGGCCCAGCTCACACAGGAGCCTCATGTGCAGCTCTGGGGGCTCGGAATTGGCACTGCCCACATCCCATTTCCTGTCTGGAGATTCAGACCGGCCACAAAGCCCCAGCCCTGACACACACAGGGCTGCTCTGCTCTTTCCAGAGCTGCTTCATCTGCTGCAAGATGGGGGCCTCCATCACCTGCTGTGGGACGGGCTGCGACCGCACCTTCCACCTTCCCTGTGCCCCACACGGCCAATGTGTCACCCAGTACTTTGGGGCCTACAGGTGAGGGCTGCTCATCCTCACCTTAGAGCCCCCATGTTCATCTCCAAGCGCTTTCCGCCCTGGAAGACACACAAGGGAGGAGGCCATGGCTGCCAGCAACCTGGCACACACAGGGGCAGAACCCACAGAGGAGCTGGGGCTCCCTCACAGCTCCTGCTCCCACACTGCCAGCACAGCCAAAGGACTCCGCACTTCCCCCTTCTCCTCATTTTCCTCACAGGTCCTTCTGCTGGGAGCACCGCCCACACCAGGCACTGCAGCCACGTCCAAGCCAGGACAACACCTGCAGCATCTGCCTGGACACTGTGGAAAATAAAATCTCCTACAAAACCATGGGGTGCCCCGCGTGCCAAGACGCCCGCTTCCACCGGCACTGCATCCAGAGACTGGCTCTGCACTCTGGCATCGGCTTCCGATGCCCGTGTTGCCTGAACCAAGACCCATTCACGATGGAAATGCTCATTGTGGGGATCCGACTCCCTAAGAGGTTGGGTTTTCTCCTCGCATCTCACAAGGCACAAGCACAGTGCCAGCCTAGGGACTGCCCCAGCAGGCCTGGCCGCCTTCTGGCCCATGCCTTTTGCCCTCCGCTCCATCGAGTTGCTGGAAATAGGAGGAGGGCTCAGCTGGGCTCAACTCTTTCCCCTCTTTCTCTGGCAGACCCCCATCGTGGCAGAGTGACCAAGAGGTCGGACCCTCGGATCAGAGGCACGGCCGCTGCGATGCCACAACGTGCCTTTGTCCGGGAGGCAGGGAGCACGTGAAGGCAGACGGGTAAGCTGCCACAGCACCAATGTGAAAGGGATCTGCTCCCCACAGGCTCTGCGATGTAGAACCAAGATCACGGGCTCTGCCATCCCTTGCTATGTCCCTTTGTTCTCACAGCCTCCTTGCTCCTCCAGACCCTGGCAGCTGTGGCTGTGCAGCTCCTGCACTGCTGAGGGCACCCACCAACTCTGCTCCTCTCTGGGGGACAGCACGTGCTCCTGGGAGTGCAGCACCTGTGCTGCCACGGACACTGGTAGGCATCAAAGCGCTCAGTGCTGTGCAGTGCAGACAGGGGCCGGGATGGACCTGACAGCAGGACCTGCAGCACATGGCTTGGCTCCAAGAGGGCTCTGGATAGCTCAGTGGCCTCTCCAGCCTGCAGCCTGGGGGCTGTCCTGATGACCTCCCTCCTGACCCTCTTTGCAGGTTCCTCTGGAAAATCAGAGCTTGTGAGCACCAAAATTTCCAGCCAGAAACTGCTAAGAATGTTCCAGAGCACGGTGCTCCTCAAGAGCAGCTCCTCCATCAGCCCTCAAGGGCAGGCCTTGAAGCAGCACTACCCTGAGGAAGAAATACCATCGGGGACAATGGACAGCCCTCCTGCCAAACCCCACAGGGACGAGGACGAGCCGGCACACAGTGCTGACACCTGCAAGCCCAGCACTTCCAGCCAGGCGGCATCACGGCTGTCCCAGGGCGAGTGTCCTGTCAAGAGCAGCAGCTCTTCCTCTTGCCCCCGGCACACCTTCAAACGGGGCTACCCAGAGGAGGACAATGACTCTGGGATATCACACGGCCCACCCGCAAAACGCCGCAGGATTGACAATGGGCTGGCCCAGAGCGCTGGCGAAAGCGGCCCCAGCACTTCCAGACAGGCAGGGTCGGGGCTGTCTGAGGCCACTCTGGCTGCCAACAGTCAAGCAGCACAACGGCCACGACACCCATACAGACCTCCATGGATCTTCCACGGATCCACCACGGACAACCGCTCCCAGCCTGGGCCAATCCGCATGAGACACGTCTGGCGGCAACAACGGCGGGCAAAAAAGCCCTACAGCCGGCTACAAAAAAACCAGCTCAAATTGTCAGCCAGCCCAAAGCCCTCATCACCCTCGACCAGCAAACACAGAGAGACAGCTAAATAGAGACAGGCAGAGTGATACATACACACATTCATAGGTACATAGATACAGAGATGAGAAATTAAGACACTAGGAGAACCCCCACACCTTTTCCAGCAGTTCTCCTCAGCCTTCTTTCAAGCCTCTCTTAGAGGAAAGAACATGGATCTATGTCCCCAGGGTTGGCTGCACCTTCCAGTGTGCCAGCTGCCAACCCTGGCTGCCCAGCACCATGGCCATGCCCTTCAGGTCTTGCTGACTTTGAGAGGCTGCTGCTGTCAGTGGCCCTGCAGGGCAGTGCCCGGCTCCTGTGCCATGTTCAGACCCCAGAGCTTGGCTGCACCCACAGCCTCTGCCTGGCCAGCAGGCCCTGTCCAGGTCCCAGCACCCCTCCATGTCCTGGGCACCATCAGCACCCCAGCCAGGCTGCTGCTGGTGCTACTACAGCAAATATCACAGTTGGTACAGGAGATGACAGGACAAAGACTTGTGGGCTGAGGCACTTCAATCAGCAAAAGAAATCACAACAAATCTTACAGATGATGAAAAGGCCACAACCAGCAACCCCATTATAATAAACAAAGTTCCCAGTGCCCCCGGGGTCACTGGAGGGGGGGAACACTGGAACTGTTGCTATCTCTAGTTAAGTACTGATATTGAAATGTTGATCAGCTAATTGCTCTGTTTTTTTTCTCTAAACTACCTGGAGATCACCTACCCCCCACCCACACTGCCATTCTAGGACTAAGATGCAAATATGGAAACCCATGGAACCAAAGGGAGCGTGTTTTGGGGAATAAGGACACCCCTAAGTGGAGAATAGAGGGGGCTGGACAGGTACAGTATGCTGGCTGAGAAAGAGGAAAACACATCCCCCAATCGACGTTTGACCTGTCACCATCACCTACAGAAGACTAGACTAGAGTGGGCTGTGGAAAGCAGGAACAAAGAGACAAGATTTTCCTGGTGTTCCCATGAGGAAAGGAGAGGGGACAACTGCAACAGACTCTGCACCCCTCCTGACCCTTTGGATACCCGGAAAAGCCACAACAGCAGAGGTGAGCTCCATGTCGTGTCCCCTGCCCAGCTAACCTTTTAATAAAGAGCTGAACATTAGTAAAGGCATAAGCCCTGTTCATTTCACCCATGAGTAGCAACTCTGAGAGCAGCAGCCACTTGCCAGCAGCTTCCTTCTCTTTTTGCAAAGCTTCTTCATCACTCTGAGCAACTTCAGTGAGCTGTGCTAACTTTTGCTGAGCTATGCCAGATTTTCGTGTTTCATTACTTATTCTTTACATAAATATTGATCACAACCCGGGTTTCTCAGAAGCTGCAAGAACACATTCTCCTTAGGCCAGAGTGAGCAGCCAAAACTCACTATCTAGAGGGTTTTTTTCTGAAAACCAAGTGGGAACAAGCTCCTCCTGTGGCTTCTTGATGCAGCCCACCCGAGCCTGGGGTAGCTCTTAGAACTCCAGTGTTGTGCCAGGAGTGGGGAACTGCCTCAGGATGGGGATTTACCAGAGGCAGAACCTTTAGAGCCACAGTTCCAGACACAAGGCACAACAGGGACCATGCAAAGGAAAAAGGAAGAGGCTCTCCATCCTGAGGTTCCACAAGGAACAGTTTATTCCAGCTGAAGGGAGCAGGGTAAAAATAGAGCCCGCAGCTCTATTGAGCAAGGGTTTTGTACAGATACAGGGGGTGGATACAAACAGCAAACCAAGAGGGAATCCTCAAAGGAGGAGTGAGGGGATTACATTGAGTGTCTGGGGCCACTTGAAGTAGGAGGGTGGAGAGGATGGGTCACATGGGTCAGTGGGGCTTCCAGAAGTAGGGGGATTCCAAAGGAATGTTGCAGACAGGGATTGGCCCGAGGTGAGAGTGGCAGGGACACTTCAAGAACAAATGGGGCTGGGTTGCCTTGACAAGCAGGGACAGAGCTGGAATAAGGGGCAGGGAATGGCATGAGGGACAGCTTTGAGGGAGGATAAAACCTGGGGGGGTAAACCAACTCGAGGAGAACGTGGGGGTACAGCAGAACAAACTTAACAAGGACTTGATAAAATAAATTCCAACCACAACAGCTTCCTATCCTTGCAAATGATGTAGCCCCAAATAAAGGATACTTCTCAAACCACCTGCTCCAACAAGGCTTCCCACACACACCCAGAGGAATGTACAGTTACACATCTATAATGCAATACAACTAGGAATGTTCTGCTAAGTCCTGACCAAAGTTTTTGTGTTAAACATACTGAAATACATGTAAAAGTGTGGATTTTTTTTCCCCCTGAGTCTCTACAATTGCTGCTGCAGACACCTGTGATGACAAAGCTGGCCAGACCTTGTGGGACTCGCCTTATCTCATCATTAAAAAAGGGGAGTTTTTATCCTCAGAGAAGGCAGGAGCTGCCACACCACAGCACTGGTGGAAGAAGGTGTGGAGCACAAGACAACCACTGAAGCTTTCATGGGTTTTGTGATTTCTTCAGCTTTCCCACCTCCCTCAGGGTGGAAATTAATGTTTCTGTCTTACTTACACATTATTCAGAAATGCTTTCAAAACACCAAATAACTCGTATTTAATGATTTCTGATTATTGAGGATAAAAGATTAAAAACTACTAAGAAATACTGGAAAATAGATGTTCTTGTCCCAACATTGATGCATGTAGGGAAGCACTCCTGGGCATCTTCTCCCTCAGTCATCTTGGGATGATTTCTGAAGGAAAATTATTTGAAATCTCCCACCACATCCATGTGAGCCCAAGCTCCTTCAGCACAGCCCTAACAGCCAAATACTTCACTGACCAGGCATTGGCCATCTTGCCAACAAGAGCCAGATGGAATGCACAGCACTGTCATTCCTCCCAGGACAGCCACTTTGAGCCATGGTTTTACTCCTTACACAAAACTAGCACAGCTCATCTGAGGCAGGGCAGCCTCAGTGTCTGCTGGAAATACCTATGGCAGACAGGGAACTGAGTGTTTAGAAGATAATTATTCCCCTTTCTCATTTCACAGCTTTTCCAAATGACTCTGTTAGTTTGAGGATGAGGTCTCCCATGTGTCAGACCCGGGGAAGGTCTGGGAGTTCATCCAAGGTCCAGGCCTTTGTTTGGTGTCTGCATTGTGCCAAGGGTCAATACTCTTGAGGGGCTTTCTCTGCAGCATAATTCATAGCAGATTACTGGGATTTTATACAGGAATGAGTAGGATTTCCTTTCTACCCGTACTTGTTTGGACTAATGCTGATAACAGCCTGGGGATTTTCCAGACAGCACCATCTCTGCTCAGATTTGTCCAAGCAAGCCCAAGCAGAGGGACAGAAAGCTTTGAGAGAAACAACAGCTGAAGAGGATTCCTGATGGTCACCACTTACGTGCACCACAGTACATTCAGCACGCTGGGCTGCCTCAAGGATGAAATGCAAAGCTCAACAACTTCAATTGGAAATTAAAAACAAAGGAGCATTCCAACCTGTGGCCTAAGTCAGCTGCTTTTCCTTGAGCCCTGAGCAATCTGACTGCTGGAACTCCCCGTGTTCAGCAGGCAAAACAGAAAGGTTGGACTTGATGATCTTAGAGGTCTTTTACAACTTTAATGATTCCATGAAATCTTACTGCTTTTGAGCATTTGGTGATCCTCGAGACCCCTTACAAGCGGTGCTTGACACAGAAGCTTCATGAGCTTCCCACCAGGGTACTACAAGAGATTTTTAATCTGGTAATATTTTTTCCCTTGATTTTCCCTCTGAGGGAATGTTCAGCAAAACATCTCTTTTCACTCACAAATACAGCAGCTCCAAGTGGTTCAGCCTTGCACTCAGGCTGGAAACACAACAGGGAGGTCTGGGGAAAGCAGTTCACAAGTTTAAAGGTCTACTTGAAATTTTGTCTCAAATCTCCACCTTCGCATTTGCGCTACTTCAGTGATATGAGAAGGAAAGCCCTTTTTCCCCCTCTCAGCTGTCCCTACATCCCTATCAGTCAGAATTGCTACACTACAGGTACAGAAATTATTCTAACAATCCCTTCACCATCAGCCACTGGAGTGCACAGCACAAGTTATGCACTGAGACAGCACCCAGAGCCAAGGCTGAATCTTGTGTCACACCTTGGTGTTAGCAAAGCCCAAAAGCAAGCCCCCAGGAGCTCCCAAACTCCAAAAACTCTCCACTCAACAGCAAACTCTCAGTTTAAAGCCGAGCTTCTGGCTCCACCTGCTGCTGGAAGGGTGGAAAAGATGAAGAAGCAGCTGCAGACAAAACAAAACAAAAAAAAATTTAAAATAACAAAGAAATCAGTAAGGCCTGCTTTTCTACTTAGCTCATCCTCCCAAGATTGTTGTTAGAAGACAAAACAGAGATTGTTTCATGATGGAAAATTATAATGTGTCCTAGATGCGCAGCTCTTCACCCGGTCATGACCACCAGGCACTTGGGTCCTATTAAAAATTACTAAAATAGATTACTTAACTTTAGAAAATACTGCCTAATAACACAAATTCATGGGTTTTGTAGCTGAAAAGAACCCAGGTCAAGGACAATGTCATAAGCATGATTCCTAAGGTTACCAGCAGGAATGGGGGGAGGGGGGGAAAGAAAAAAAAGGAACCCCAAAACATTGTATGTTATCCCATCTCCCCCTGTTCACTGTGTGGCTCTTGCCTCTCAGTGTTTCACGTGTTCCCCTTAAATCTTTGTTTGCATTTACCCACAAACAGTGTAATTTTTTCTTTTTATGCCAGTATATATATTTAACGATTTCATGCCAAAACCCACACGCTTTTCCCTTGCCAAAGTGCACAGGTGCCAGCACAACTGAGCATTATTTCCACCAACAAAGCTCCCAGTGAAGCCAAGGGCTGCCCTGGGTGCCTCAGGAATGCTGGTTTGGCTCTGGGGTGCTTGGATTACCTCTGTGTGTTTGCACAGCACCGAAGGCAGGGTCTCTATTCATTTAGAAAAGCATTTCATATACTTGATTTAAAGAAACATCAAAAGTTACTTCACAAAAATATGTGCAAGTGATATGATGGAGACAGATTATGCTTTTACAGCCAAGTTCTTATAGCAACATTTTGCTGATACATATTTGTGCCTTTAAAAAGTTTTATTGCTGTACAGCTCTTGCTAAAGAAAACTAAGCTCTTTGGATGGGCAATACAGAGCTCTTTCAAGTGGCATTTTAAAAATAAATGTCAATTACAGCAGAAAAAAAGTAATGCCATTTCCACACTTGCATCTCTACCTAATGCAAACTTAAAAAGAAATACACTAGGAAGGTTCAGACAGGGAATCCTCTGAGATTGCACTTCTCAGTTTTTCACCGCTTACAGTTATGCTGCAAAAACCAAGCTCATTGCACATTCCAGCATGTGCATTACACTGATTTGTAAATTATTTTCAGTTTCGCCTCCTTCAAGTTAAAATTTGCTCAGCACCAGCCTTTGGCTGAGCTACCTCCACTTGAGCAATCAGTGGAACAAGTACAAACCCCAGAGCGCTGGATTTCTGGCACTCAGCGGGTAAGTGCACTTTAGTTGTCTACATTTTTTTGGGATAAAAGCCCTGAAGAAATTTTTTAAGGCTAATTAAGATCCCAGACAACAAAAGCACAGGCAGATTTTACAAGCATGTTAGTTATACAAGCAGCAGAATTTGAGTTTGAGAGGTTTAGGCAGTGTCACTGACAACTGGCCAAATCCCAGTTTGCCAGAAGATTGCCAGAAGACACAAAAAGCACTTTCTATGATAAAGCAAACCCCAAAACAGACACAGAATTCACAAGGCAGATGAACTTTCTGATAGCCTATCATTTTTTCACTTTGCAGAGAAAAAGAAGAGCTCTGACATTCCTTTTGGCCACCCAGCTCCACTTCCTAACTCACAAACAGCTGCCAAGATGGTTTTTAGTGTTTCTGAAGTGAGGGTTAGCTGGTGACAGGCTTAGTGTCTTACAGGAAGGAAACATCCTGTATGTGTCTTCACTTCTGAAATAATACATGTAATTTTGTACTTGTTCTGGCATTGAACTGTAATAAACCAAACCATCAAAACCTTCTGTGTGCTCTAGCTCTGGCTCCAAACACACACCCAGGGCCTTGATTGCT